ATGTAGTGCATGACATTTAAAAAATTAACTTTGTATTTGTGGATAATCTAAGCACTATACCCAGATGTTCAGACACTCTTTTCCCAACCTATGTACTATATTCTTTTTTTAATATTAGCTTTAATAAAATGTTTAAATCTCTCAGCATCACATTCTAATAAAATACCTTCTCTCCCTTCAAGGCAGGTTTGATCTGAAAGATCCAGGACTGTATAGACACTGCTCAGTCGGTGGTTTAATAGTTCTCTATCTAACCCTTTGGAGGGAGTGAATTTAGTGCTGGTGAAAGGCACTGGGCTGATAGAACTGGAGACTGATGTCACTGCAGAATGGTGGTAGCAGGGCTAGTTGTTGCCTCCCTCCTCCCCCAATTTGCCACTGGTATAGAGGGACCACATCTGGCAGTAAGGGATAATTCATTCTCCATGGCTCACTCAGTCCTTGGGTATTCTACTGAGTCTGCCAATCATAGAACACCCATCTTAAGAATGTCACAGAGGAGGAAACACAATATAAAAATGTTTTTCCCTTTGAAAAGACTTCTCAAGCACAACTCTTAGTTAAACCAGAGCTATGGATGAGCAGAGGACCCCACCAACCATTTCTGAACCCATCTTAATAAGACGTTCTGGTTTCAAAGGCAAGAAGATTTTAGAATGCCTGGAAATCAAAAATGACATGTCCAGTGGGAGAGACTTCTTGTCTCTGCTGGTGGAGAGAGAACGCTTCCATATTGTCAGAGGAATGATGAATAAAATTGGCCAGGATGAGAGAAGAAAACCAAAAATGAGAGAATGTTACCATTACATTCAACGAGTCTAATTCATTGCTCAGGATAAAAACCTCAGCTAAAATTGCTCAGAAGAGCTCCTCTCTGCTGCCTCCTTCAGAACATCTGACCCTCTCTTTTGGCTGAAGCTTGCACATGAAAGCTTTAAGCATCCAATGCATGTTTACATACATTAAAGCCAGCTATGATTAAAGCAAACATTTGCTTTCAGGCAGGCAACCGATCAACGAATAAATAAATCGTAACAGCCTGAAAGTTTCTGCCGAATCTAAGTGAATAGACACGGTACATTGGAGTAAAGTTTCAGTGTGTCATCTGATGAGCACTGGTTTTCCAGAGGTTTCCACAACTGCTTCTTCTTTTAGTGTTTAAAAAACAAAACAAAACAGGAAACAACTGTTTCCCCTGACTGAAAGTAGATAAGAAACCCAGAAAAATCTGACTTCGCAAAGTTTCTTACATTTCGAAAGGCAGACAGAAGCATGTGAATTTTAGTTGTCCAGTTATTGTCAGGTAACAAATTATAGATTCCCCAACTGGGAGACCTGCTATAGCTTTACATTTTCTGGTTTCTCTTGTACTGAGTTCACTTTTGTTTGGGCATCTTTGTCTTGGGGGCATGTTTTCTTATTTCAATGCACTTTAAAATGATATTCACCAAAATCTTTGTATGTTACAAAATGTTGCTTTTTCTTATACAGGATCTACATGGTTTCTTTCATATTAGCCAGCAAAATCAAACAATTCAAATGGCTGAGTAGCCAATGGCAACTGCATTTTCACACAGAAATCAGCTCAGAATTACAGTTGCATATAGTTCATTTTATTTTTATTATAAAACTTTGGAAACAGTAAGCCAAGTCTACTCTACTTGAAGGAAACAGCTTGTACTATAAGATAATACAGTTATTTATATGAAAATATATTACTATAGCAAAATGCTATACTGGTCTCTAACACCCACATCGGGCAAATATTTGTGACATTCAATCTGATTCTTTTAAAGAATGACATTTCTCCTTAGTTCTCTTTTGAAATGATGGGCCAGTCAGGATGTTAATTAAACAAAGCACATTGTGGGTTGGAGGGAGACACTGTCAAGGTGAAAAATCAGATTTCTTTAAAAATTTGTCATAATCTATGTTTCTAATAACACATAATTGTGATTTAATGCCTTGATCCTTTAATCTGATCTCTGCAGGCACTTCCTTATGGCCACGGAGACTCCCTTTGCAGTCAGGGGTCTGCCCAAGAGAATTGCCTTGCAGGATCATGGTCTAAATCATTTAAAAAAACATAATTTCTTTTTCACTATTTGTGGCGGTTGTTTCCTTTATGCATTTCACTCACTGGGCTGTTCAATTTCATTTTCTGCCTGTCAGCCCCAGTCCTTCAAACACTTAGTCACATGCCTAGCCTTAAGCATGTGAGGAGCCCATTAACTTTAATGGAAAGACTCATGTAGTTATAGTTATGCACACCTAAGGTGTGTGCAGGACTGGGGGTGATAGTCAGTCTCATTCTCTGTTGCTCGTGCATTAGAACAATTCTGATGTCTGTGGGTTTCCAAATCTGTGAGGGGATGATTTAAATTAGAAAAAAATATTTCCATTGAATCGAATCAGAAAACCTTTTAGAAGAACATTATTGTTCATATTCAGTTTTGTAAAACAAAACAAAAACTTTTACAAAATCCAAAGTTTCAGCTCAAGCTACTTGACAGTGTCTCAAAGTTTCAATCAACTTTTAAAAAATTTGTTTCCCATTGTACTTTTTACATGCTTTTTGCAAGCATTCTGAACTGCCTGGATCTGATTATCCTCTCAGTGGAGATACTCCCGATATACACCAGTGGAAGTGAGATCAGAATCAGTTTCTTTTTATACATACTGGTCACCATCATTTTTATGGAAGCACAAATAACAGAGAAAGTTTCCACTGGAGATTATGTGCAGGGTTAATATGCCACTGCCACTTTAAAACAAGTGACGGGAGAAAAATCACTTACGTACATAAATGTGATAGCACAAAGAGGAGTTGCGTATGAAAGCTTACACTAAGTGGACTATAAATACAGACTCCTGGAAAATAAATAAATATGGGTTTGTTTTGTGGGAGTGAGGAGTACTGACAGCTAATCTGGGACTGCGGCTGGTAATATTTTGGGCTGTGAAATGTATGATAAATATACACTGGAAAGAAATTGTATGCGTCTCATGTGAGGAAAGACTTATTATTGCTCTAGGACTTCCTAGAACATGAACAGAATATATCTATATATAAATATCTCCAATAGTCTTTTTTTATATACCATGTACTGTACGTTTCACTCCTTTCCCTTAAACTCATTTTACTATGATTTAGTGCAGCAGGCATTAAGAATTGATGACTTGATTTTGATATATATTTCAATCAGGTGTAGAAATCTATTGGGATTGCATCATGATCAAAGAATAATGCCACAGCACCCCATTCTAGAAACAAAGAGCTCTGTGGATTTCGATAACGGTTATAGGACTGCTTGAATTTTGCCTTCAAGGACACACTTCACAGAAGTGCTAATATCAGGCTGCTGAAAATTACCTGTCCTGGACAGGTGCGCTGTGATGAGAACATCTTAGCTTAACAGTGGTACCTTCCTTGGGCTTAACTCACAATGAGGCAACTAGGAGGAGAAAAGCAGGACGCAAAAAGAGAAAAGACCAGTTTTTTTTAAAAACTTGGAAGCTGGGAGCATGGCAATAGCCAAGCTCTTGTGGGGCACGTTCAGTGCTTCTTAACTGTTTTTGGATGCATCGGTATCATGGTGATAGATGCCTTCTAAGATAGATATTAAGAGAGCCAGGTGATAGGGGGATGGGAAGGATGGAGGAGTGGGTTCTTCTCTTACAAAGGGGTTTGCAGTAAGAAAAAGATGGAGAACCTTTGCAACCAACCTGAAGCAAAGCCAGTTTTCCAGCACTAATGTGCTGGTACAGAGACATGGAGGCAATGCTCAGACCATGATACTGTTGCATCATTTTGTCTCCTTCCATGCATCTCTCTTTCCATCTCCCCCACACCCGCTTGTCTCAACTTGCCTTGGCTCTTTTCTCTTCCTCCCCTACACCGCACTCTTGTAGAGCCTATAGTCTATTAATTTTGTCAGATACATTAATGCAACAATAAGCTATCTCCTGCTAGAAGGAGGAATGCAATGGAGAGAACAGACTGGCTTCCTTGCCAGTCTAGCTGCATTATATATGTTTGTGTGTGTGTGTATGTGTGTGTGTGTGTATATAAGGACCTTAAATTTGAACTCATCAACTAAACCTTGTCAGGATCTCTAGAATTCTCTAATGTGTGTGATTCCCAATATTGGTTTATGAGAGGCATGCACTTGCATTGGAAGGAAAATATATCTCAGCTACATTTAGCAATATGCAATCCAGCAAAGCACTCTGAGTACATATACAACGCAGTGTCACTTTCACTGATCACATGGAAAGACATGTTGAAAGTGGAGGAAGTTCCAGTGAGAGAGAGAGAGAGAGAGAGAGAGTGTGTCTAGCTGCAAAATTAATTCTTTGGGTTCTTTACATGACTGAACTCGGGGCCTAGGGGCACTTAAGAATATAAAGCTTGAGTCTATTAGAACATGACTTGAATAGTCATCAGTGAATTGTTTATCACGGGAGTGGCAGGAAAGCCAGGGGATTTCCCTGAGAGCCAGTATGACCTAGAAGACTGAGCAAGAGACTAGCAGTGGAAAGTTCCTGAGTTCTGCTCCTGGCTACACCTCCTACTCCCACTGTTGCTGTGACATCGACCCTGCTCTCTGTGTAGAGGAACCACTAGGTGCTAGCCAGCCTAGAAAAAGTTACAGCAGCCTTTCCTTTCAGAAATCACTGCCGGAGTGAGCATCTGGGTATAGGGGAGTCCTGGCCATCGGGGGGAGGGAAGGCATTTGGTTTTCAATATATGGAAATTTCTAAAATGTTGTGGTTTCTTTCCTCAAAAAGCTACCAAACCAAACCAAAACATCACTTTTGAGGGAACATAACACATTTTCAAAATGGTCCCTATTCTGAGTGACTACACTTATCTGCTGTACAGCAGGTTGAAAGTTTTCAAAATTTGAAATTTTTCTGAAATTTTTGCTCAAAATTTCAATAAAAATCTCATCCCCTCCGGCCTCCCCCCCAAGATATCTCCTCCTGACCCAGTTTTCCAACCTGTTCTAATATTAGGACTTTTTGCATAGTGAGATGAATTTTTACAATGAAACATTAACATTTTGCGTGCTCCAGTGTAAAAATGGACAACCCATTCGAAATGCTATAAAAAGAGCCATTTCTGGGCAGCAAATGGATCCAGAACAACATGGCCCACAATTTCTGCAAAATTTCTTGGGAGAAAAAAATATCAGTAATGTTTTTGTTTGTTGGTTTGTTTTGCAAACTGCAAGAAATTATTTTAATCTACTTCCCAGGGCAGTTGTTAGGGATTAATTAAACAGTTAATGATTTACATAGTGCCTTGAAGATTTACGTTTCTATATTAGTACAAAGTACTGAGCAAATCTATTTTTAAGAGAGTGCCAAGAAGTAATTGCCTGTTGAAAGGGGAGATCTGAAGAAAGATCAAACAAAATTACGTTGGAAACTTGAACAGTTTAAAGTGGTTGTTTAAGGCAAAGGGGGGTTGTTTATTAGAGGTGGAATATAGGTTTAATTGATTTGTTTGTTCCCCGTCACCTATAAACTATTTATGCCCCACTTGTAGGTATTTAAGAGGTTCCTAGCTTTAGCATGGAAATGTATTTTTCTCTCCTCTGCCTCCCTATGTTTTTCGGTGGTTTGGTGTGGTGTGATCTATTTGGTGATGTGTCGTTTAATTCAACTTTCCTCCCCCCAAGGATAATGATGGGCACCCAGCCACACAGGTGAAGGAGAATACAGGTAAGGAAACTGCTTTTGAGAGCACAGATGCTCGGCACTAGGACACCCTGATCCTGCACTCACTAAAATCATTAGCAAAACTCCTGTGTGACTTTAGTGATACATTTGATTCAGGACCCTAATTAGGAGCAGTTGCTGTCAGAAGCCTACAGTAAAAAAGCACCAAAGAATGTTTTGTCTTCTTTAGTGTAATCCACCCATTGGATTTCACTAACATTGACCATCAGCCTGTCCCCTTCCTCCATGAAAAGCACTGCCCCTAAGTAAATAGGCTGGAACCAGTTGTTTCCCATCTCACACAGAGTCTTGGTGGCAGTCAGTAGTTGGGTAGGCTCAGGGTAGCTGTCCGTGACTTTGGTGATGGTCTGCGTTATGGAAACTGGTTTACTGTGATTTGGAGTGGGCCCTCGGAAAGTGACCTGAGAGTAGATGTAGTAATCCCCGGCCTTTGGAATCATCAGTGACTTGTTGGTGTAGTTCATGTTGTTCTTGGTGAAGGCTAAGCCTCGCTCGTGTTCCCACTGGAGAACTGGCAACTGGTTTCCCGTCGGGGGGGAAATATCTTGTTTCTTAACTGAGGAGGTAAAGGAGAAAGGAAAGAAATCAGTTAGTTCACCTGTTCAAGCAGGATGTGTGGCAGTGAGCATAACTCAGGTGATGGAGTCCTTCAAAAGAAAACAACCTGGCAGCACATTCTCTTTAGTAAGGGCTCACTCTGATGTGTATTACTGTAGTGCCCAGAGGCCCCACATGAAATCAGAGCCCCACTGGGATAAGCACTCTATATTCACACTGTAAGGGTACGTCCACACTACCCGCTGGATCGGTGGGTAGCGATTTTTCTATCGGGGATCGATTTATCGCGTCTCATCTAGACACAATAAATCGATCCCCGAACATGCTCCCCGTCGACTCCGGAACTCCTCCGGAGCGAGAGGCGGAAGTGGAGTTGACGGGGGAGCCGCGGCCGTCGATCCCGCGCCGTGAGGACGGGAGGTAAGTTGATCTAAGGTACGTCGACTTTAGCTATGCTATTCTTGTAGCTGAAGTTGTGTATCTTAGATCGATCCCCCGCCCAGTGTAGACCAGGCCTAAGAGACAGTATCTGCCCCAAAGAGCTTACAGGCTAGCTAGACAAGGCAAACAAAGGGTCAGAGGAAAGGAATATTATTACTCCCATTTTACATATGGAAAACAGAGGCACAGGGCGATTATGGCCAGATTTTCAAACACAACTAGCCATTTTGGGTGCCCACCTTGAGACGCTGTAAAGGGACCTAATTTTCAGAGAATGGACGCCGGGGCCCCTTTAAGGTGTCTCAGTTTGAGCACCGAGGAAGTAAGCCACTTGGTGTCATTAGACCTGATGCCGCACAGCAAGTCTTTGGCAAACTGAGAATAAAGCTCAGCTCTCCTGAGTTCTAGGCCAGCACTTACCCACAAGACAATCCTTCCTCAGGGTGCAGTCTGGTCACATCAAAGGGGGAAATTCACTCCAGTGTGTAGAAGGATTTGCCCCCCCCCAAGGCCCAATGCACCATTTCACACCAGTTTCAGATCTATATCAACACATCATCCTAAAATGCAGCCAGCTCTGGGGCACCTGTGTGAATGATTACAGCAACTATACATAATGGTGCAGGACAGTAATCAATGAGACACCCCATATCCAAGGGACCCTTCAGTCTATAATTACCCTAACTTATATTTAGGCAGGACAGCCCTTGAGAAAAAGTGACATGGAATCTTTTCTGACCACAAATGATCAGCACCTTGGTGTTAATCTAATCCAAATACACCTCTACCCCGATATAACGCTGTCCTCGGGAGCCAAAAAATCTTACTGCGTTATAGGTGAAATCGCGTTATATTGACGTTGTTTTGATCCGCCGGAGTGCACAGCCCGCCCCCACCGGAGCACTGCTTTACCGCGTTATATCCGAATTCGTGTTATATCAGGTTGCATTATATCGGGGTAGAGGTGTAGGTGGCAACTCTACCTGCAAACACTGTCCCAAAGTCATGTGGAATCTAGGTAGATTATCCTCCTTGCGTGTCCCATACACAACTATTTTTGTGACTTAAACCTATCTCTAACTATGACGGGTTCAGATGAGGTTTCCATTGGGGGCAGATTATCCCACATCTCCCTACTGTGGGGTATCTTGTACCTTCCTCAGAAGCAGCTGGGGCGAGCTGCTGTCAGAGACAGCACACTGGAGCAGATGGACCCCAGGTCTGATTCAGTCTGGCAATTCTCGTGTTCTGGTTTTTGCAGAGTTTGGAGGGAGGAGATGAGGCATAGTGGGACTTTTACCCTTCCTGTTTTGATCATCTCTCTTCCCCCATTTGTAATACAGCTCAGGCAAGTAGCTAGGAAAACAAGAGCCCTATATTTTATTTATAGGAGTGATTTCTGCTAGGGAACGGCAGTCAGCTTTCCTAGTAACTGTGTTTGTCACAGCTGAGAAAAGTAAAACATCTGACTTCTCTGGGCAATAAAAAGAAACATACAAGGCTACTGATAAACAAACAAGCAAGACAGAGGCAACTGATTTCCAGGAGATGAGACCTTTTCTTTTGTGTGAGCGTGGGTTAATACTGAATGTTTGCTCTCTTTCCATATCATTCAATTTCGGGGGAAGTGGATGAATTAGGTACAGGAAAGAAAAACTTTGGAATTCTTCCAGACTTAAGTGCTAAGTATGCCCTGTGTGGTACGGGATTCAACAAGATCACACACAATTACTACAAGGAACAGGATTAAGGGCGTGTGGCTGAGAGATGCCTCAGCTCCTGTTAACGTCACTGGAAGTACTGGGGGCTCAGAATAGGTAGGTCTACACAGCCTGCAGAAGCAAGCCTCCCAGCCCACATCGACAGATGGGCTAACGGGGCATGTGATAGCACTCTACAAATATACGTGTAGACAGCGCTTTGCAGTCAGGGCTTGGGCTCTGAAGGCTGGGCAGGGGGGTGGGCTTCGGAGCCCGAACTCCAGCCCAAGTCACAATTTCAAAGCACTGTCTCCACAGTTTTTTAGAGCACTAGCATGAGCCCTGCTAGTCCAGACCTGGGTTGGGAGACTCACTGCCCCAGGCTGTGTAAACCTACCCAATCTGGTCTGAAACCCCATTTCCAGAACATTGCAGCAACTACTGGCTAGCACTGTTTTTCTCCTCTGGTAATATGTAATCCATAAGCGGAGAATGAGCCGTAATGCCTGGCGTATTCGCTGAGCAGTATAACGCTATGATGACGGGAAGTAGCCTCTGCAATAATGGATTTTGAGCTCTAGTTCATTCTAACTTTTCTCCAGAAAAAGGTAAAGCACACAGATGTGTGGGGGGAAGACAAGGATTGCAATAGCATCTGGCGTGGAAGGAAGGAAGAGTGTTCTCAGATCTTTGGCTCCAGCTGTATAGAAACTGAGGTTAGGGGAAGCAAATGGCTGTCTGCTACCTCACACTTCCCCAGGGCTTCCTGGGGGTGTTCAAACCCTGGTATGAATTAGAGCAGCCTTAGGCCTTGCAATAGCCCCTCCCATCCCATCCCCGAGGGCTAATTCAGCAGCTGGGGATGCTGGAGTGCAGGGGTCTCTATGTATGCAGCTCCCTAGCCTGGCCCCTACACTGGAGTGCGCCACATCAGCTGTGCCTGGTATTTAGGACAAATTTAAAGCTCCTCTGTGCTACTGTAGCACCTCCAAGCAGCCTCAGAATCTGGCCCAGAATCTGTAAGATTAAACTGGATTTACTGGGGACAGATGTGACTCTGGTAGGCCCTCTTTCTTATTTATCTGAGGCTGTGTTTACGCTTAAAATGCCACAGCAGCTCAGCTGTAGTATTTTTTGTGTAAATATGTATTTTACCTAGGGAGGTGGTGGAATCTCCACCCTTAGGTTTTTAAGGCCCGGCTTAACAAAGCCCTGGCTGGGATGATTTAGTTGGGGATTGGTCCTGCTTTGAGCAGGGGGTTGGACTAGATGATCTCCTGAGGTCTCTTCCAACCCTAAATCTATGATTCTGATTCTATTCACTATAGCACTAGATCATCACTGTAGTTAAGCCACCACCCCAAGAAGTGCTAGTTAGGTTAACAGAAGAATTCTCCCATTGACCTAGCTCTGTCTAAACCAGGGGTTAGGTTGGCATAACTACATCTCTTAGGGGTGTGGATTTTTCACATTCCCGACAGATACAGCTATGCCAGGTAAGTTTTCAATGTAGACCAGCCCTTTGACAATCATAAAGTGAGTGTGACTGTAATGTGTGTTACCAAAGTGGCCTAAATCAGGCTCTGGAAGTTCAGTGGTCACCCTTAAAAGGCCAGCTGTTCCCAACCAGTAACAGGACAGTCGTTTCCTAAACTGACTTAGGGAAATGCTCAGATAACAACCAGCTATCACGGTGTGGTGGTAACAATTTAGTAGTGACTATCATCCCCCCCCCCCCAAAAAGTGATCAGAATGAAGGGGGTGTAATAGCTCAGTGGTTTGAGCATTGGCTTGCTAAACCCAGGATTGTGAGTTTAATCCTTGAGGGGGCCATTTGGGGATTGGTCCTGCTTTGAGCCGTGGGTTAGACTAGATGACCTCCTGAGGTCCCTTCCAACCCTGATATTCTATGAATGCACTTTCAGTGACAAGGGTAGAGATTAGGGACAGGAAAAATAAGAACAGACCCTATGGCTCAAATCAAACTTTCCCAGAGCTTCAAAACACACAGGAAAACATATTTGTCATTTTCCTTTTCTTGCTCCTCTCTACTTGGAGGTACAAGCTAGTGAATGTGCCCAAACGGCAGATCAAGGAGGACCAGAAATCTTTGGTGATTTCCAGCTAGATTTTGTAAATTCAAGGGATTGAAAGAAACTTTATTCAACTGTTGGGTGGTTCCCTGAAGTAAAGAGAACATCACACAAGCTTTTGAAGTTAATTAATCAGGAGTACAGAGCTACAGTCTTATCTTCTGAGCCAGCAGTCATGCAGGAGGGGCTGTCTCTTGCCCAGTGTCTCTTGCTACTATGTCACACTGGCTGTGCACCACAAATGACAGTTTTATCAATGAATGGGACCTTGTTCTCCTGCAAATCTGCACTGTTGTGTTGAAAACTTTGGAAAGGTTTGCCTTATTAGTAAAAGGCATGGAAAAGGGTCAAAAGACACAGTCTAGCATTAGCCAGGAACTTAAGGACAAACCCAGAGAGCAAAATCCTGCTACTGAGAGCTATAGGAACCTAGGCCCTGATTCAGTGGCGGGCTTAAGCACATGCACAACTTTGCACATTGACTTCAATGGGGTTACCCGCATGCTTAAAGTTACTCGTGTGCTTTGAGTGCTTTTTGGAATCACGGCCAGAGTCCCCTCCGCTGGGTCAGGCCATGGCAGAGGGAAAGGGAGTGGAACTTGGAAGCCGTCCACAAGGTTCTCGAACCATCACAGCCGTGCCAGCCGCCATTCTGCCACTGACTTTCCCCATTATGTCCTTGCACCGGGTTCTCTCATCTGGGGGCTGTAGAAATAGTTTAGGGCTCAGTTCTGCCCCTCCCTCAAAAGGGTGTACAACGAAGGGGTTTAGAGCATGCCGAGAGTCCCTTGCCCCTCAGCCCATCTACAGAGGAACCAAGCATCATCCCCTGGTCTGGTACCTTGACACTGCAATAAAAGACCCTCCGCATGGCCGCGGCTGGCCCGTGTCAGCTGCCTTGAGCTTGGAGGGCTCGGGCTGCAGGGCTAAAAATTGCAGTGTCAACGTGCAGGCGTGGGCTGGAGGTTGGGATCTGAAACCCCACAATGGTGGGGAGGAGAGGGGGTTGGTTCTCAGATCCTGAGCCCACTGCAGTGTTTAGCCCCATAGCCCAAGCCCTGTGTGCCCGAGTCCATTGACCCGGGCTCTGAGAGTCGGTGCCATGGGTTTTTTATTGCAGAGTAGATGTATCTGACAAGCTCCATGAGGGCATGGCTGGGGGTAATGCTGGCCACACCGGTTAAGCAGGGCGTAGCAAAGAGCACTCTTCAGCCTGCTCCCTCAGCCTTTCCCATTGCTTGTGACACCCCCCACTCCTGCCCTTGAGAAAGGCATAACACCTCCCGGCGTCTCCCCCTCCTCAGCACTGCTCAGACTCGTGAGAGTCACAACTGAACTTAATTCTCCTCTTGCACACGCTGGTCAATGGAGTTATACTGGCGGGGAAAAGGTGCAAGTGAAGAGAATCAAGACTGTGATGCTTATGGAATATTGAAGGTCTGGTTCTCCTGTCCCTTAAACTGCTCTAGCGCCATTAACTGACAGGTGTGGCGTTACTCCTGATTCACATCACGATGAGACTACAACTGGGCCCTTTATGTTTCAATATTCCCGTTAAGTACAGCAGAAGAGTAAAATACCAGCCATTGATTTAAGCACCAAGATAATTCTAGCAGTTGCTAACGGCCGCCAGCCCGAGTGTTCATTTTGTAAGCAGCCTTTGAAAACCATAACGAGAATCTTTCCTAAAAGTGCCCAGCTTTGCAGACACTCCGTATGAACACAGGGCCAGATCCTCGCCGGGTATAAATCAGCATAGCTCAGTAAGGCTAAGTCAAGTGATACCCGCTTGAGCTCTGGCCCAGAGAGTGTAAACGGGAGATGACTTTCTTTCCCCTACATTTCCTGCCTTGCAACGTCTGACTGTCAGTTTCCATCAGGCATGTGCGTTTTGGCGCTGAGCTTTTGTGCAGTGCAAATGTTAGTGACAACAACCCAGGGAGGCATATTATTTTTGAACAGTTACATTACCTGTCAGGTGTGCTCTTGGCTTTCCTGCACTGGATACTAAAGCTGTAATTAAAAAAAAAAAACATTTGCAAACATCCGAGTCTGATTGATTCTTCACAGAGAGAATCTGTGCAGTCCCTCTTCATTTCCGCCTGGGTCTGTTTTACGAGTTATTTGTCTAGGCTGTTTTTTTTTGTTTTTTGTGGCAGGCAGGAATGGAATTTTGGACAGAGCTGATGCGATCACTGAACAAGCACCAGGACATGTCAATTGCACTGCAAGGCTTGTGAGAACTTGGCAAATCCTTTTAAAACAAACACTGCCCTCCCCCTCCCCACCCCCGCAAAAAGCAAAGCAAAAACCTCTTCTTTGAATTAGATTTCAGCATGCACCAGGGCATCCTTTGTCGTTCTACCATTTCAATACTAATATAGTCAGATTGTCCTCAAAAAGCCACAGGGCAGGTTTATCCCTACACCAATGCACAGAGGAGGAAGTCTGCACATCCCTTATTCAGGGCGTGCAGCACCAACCCAGCCACTCCCCCTCTTATGCCATCTTTCTGTCCCCCCAGCCCTCCACTGCTTCCTCAAGCCTGCCTGGGCTCTGCCACAGCCGCACCCTCTCCTCCTCCCTTCCTTCCCCACCTGGCCTCCCATCCACACCTCTCTCCTCCAGCCCAGCGCTTGCCTATGATTCTCCCTGACACTCCCTGCACTGCGTGACCATTGCTGAGGAGGCCTCTATAGACCTCCTATGTTGAAAGGAGTGGGTGGGGGAATGGTGGACTTTGGCTTCTTTGCACCAGCTGCACTGGCATGAAAGGGACCACAGGGCCCTTGTGAGTCTGGCCCACAGAGTAAGAGTGAGCTGGGGTTGGCTTTCACGTGCAGCTACATTTTCCCTGCACAGAGTCCTTAGCAGCACTAATATTATAGAATCATAGGACTGGAAGGGACCTCGAGAGGTCATCTCGTCCAGTCCCTGCACTCAAGGCAGGACTAAGTATTATCTAGACCATCCCTGACAGGTGTCTGTCCAACCTGCTCTTAAAAATCTCCAATGATGGAGAGTCCACAAACTCCCTAGGCAATTTATTCCAGTGCTTAACCAGCCTGACAGTTAGGAAGTTTTTCCTAATATCCAACCTAAACCTCCCTCGCTGCAATTTAAGCCCATTGCTTCTTGTCCCAGCCTCAGAGGTTAAGAAGAACAATTTTTCTCCCTCCTCCTTGTAACAACCTTTTATGTACTTGAAAACTGTTGTCATGCCCCCCTCAGTCGTCTCTTCTCCAGACTAAACAAACCAAATTTTTTCAATCTTCCCTCAGAGGTCATGTTTTCTAGACCTTTAATCATTTTTGTTGCTGTTCTCTGGACTTTCTCCAATTTCTCCACATCCTTCCTGAAATGTGGTGCCCAGAACTGGACACAATACTCTAGTTGAGGCCTAATTAGCGCGGAGTAGAGCGGAAGAATTACTTCTCGTGTCTTGCTTACAACACTCCTGCTAATACATATCCACAGATAACACCGTACAGGGAAGTAGATTCAGATATAGATTGTTATCTACCCCGAGCCTTTCCCTTCCTTTATGTTTTCTATTGACTCAAACCTTCACTCTCGGCCCAACCCTTCAGCTCTAACCCTGCCCAAACTTCCAGGGACTTTGATGGGATTGCAGGAGCGTGTGCCGCAAGAGGATTTAGCCCATAGCATTGCAGATGAGCTGTGCTCAGGAGAGGGTTTGCAAAGGTAGCTTTAAGCCACATGTACACCTTGCGGCCCCCAATTCTGGTTCCTTGTGGATGCTGGATTATTTCCTGCTGTAGACTAGAGCAGTGGTTCTCAAACTAGGGCTGCCGCTTGTTCAGGGAAAGCCCCGGGCAGGCCGGGCCGGTTTGTTTATCTGCTGCGTCTGAAGGGCGGCCAGCACGTCCCTCGGCCTGCACGGCTTCCTGCAGCCCCCATTGGCCTGGAGCAGCGAACCGTGGCCAGTGGGAGCCGCGATCGCCTGAACCTGCGGACCCGGCAGGTAAACAAACTGGCCCGGCCCGCCAGGGGCTTTCCCTGAACAAGCGGTGGCCCTAGTTTGAGAACCACTGGACTAGAGTAGCCACAGAGCTGTTTGTACCTGGTTGCCTATTGCCCATGCCAGCATCTGGGCATCACTGGGGGGAGAGTTGTCCCCCAGATATGTCCCCTATGCTGGGAACTAGGATGGAGTTGGCATAGAAGCTACTAGACGATTCCCTTGTGCCGTTCTCCACTCGCCAGATGTGATGGCTTTAGGATTGGGTTGCACTGTAGAGCAGTATGAAGCCCCTTTAGCAGGACAAAGAGCTGCCGCATCCTTGCGAAGTCACCTAGCCCATCCTCCTCCAGACGGTTCCTTTGGGAAATCTAATTTTAAGATAATACAAGTGATAGGGCTTCTACCCCTTTGCGGGTGAGACTGATCTATAGCATAACGGATCTCACTGGCAGGAAGCTTTTCCTGACATTCAGCCTGAATTTACTTTCTCGGACTTTAATCTCCTTTGGCTTCTAGTTACACCTTTTGCACCACACTAAGCAATTCCTTTTCCTCTAAAGGAACCTGATCTGGCCCCCACTCTGGCTCCTATATGCTGTTTTGGCAGTGTACAGCGCCCATGAAGGAACTGCTGGGGAAGAAGTCCCTCTGGGCAGAAGGAGCATAGACCTGATATTAGTGACCTTGCACACTGTCCCCTCTACTGTACTTGTATTGTTCCCAATTTCTGGCAGGGAGGAGAGAATCAATAGATTCTATGATTCTATGACCTTTAAACTTCTCTCCTCCCTGCCGGAAATTGGGAACAATACAAGTACAGTAGAGGGGGTGTGGGAGGGTGTGTAGAGAGCTATGACCCATAAACACAAACATCCAAGGACAAGGCTCCTGGGGACAGATTCTGAGAAACCCAGGACAAAGAGCACAGGAGGGGTTGGGCAAAGGTGACTTTCTGCCCTCTTTCTGCAGACCAGATTGGCTGCCTAGGAGCCGCACTGCAGCCCAGAATCACTTGTAGTAGGAAGAGCTATGTGCATGCTAACCCTTTGTTTCCACTATTTCTGCTTGCTATGATTTGACTCGCTGGAGGGGGGCCAGAGAACTGTTCCTTTTGGAACAGAGGGTCTGGGAAATCCAGTGGATCAGGGGCTGGGCACTCCACTGAGGTGTTCGGAGATTGCAGGTTGATTATCGTTACCCTGTAAAGAGAGAACGGGACCTACGGAGGCCTGGAAGGCCCTAGTTCCCAGAGACCAGAGGGGTAGAGGAACTGACCCACTGCGGTCTTTGTCCTGGGTTTCTCAGAATCTGTCCCCAGGAGCCTTGTCCTCGGATGTTTGTGTTTATGGGTCATAGCTCTCTACACACCCTCCCACGCCCCCTCTACTGTACTTGTATTGTTCCCAATTTCCGGCAGGGAGGAGAGAAGTTTAAAGGTCATTATGTAACTCTCACACCTTCTGGGTGTGGTGTTCTGTCCCACCTAGTGGAGCGAGAGATAATGAGTCTGCTCTATAGCTTTAGCTAAGAAGTAGTTGGCTTTTAGCTCACGTGGTAGAGGCTCATGCACTAAGCTCCCGAGGTCCCAGGTTCGATCCTATCCGCTGATGACTGGGGTTTGTGGGTGTTACAGTTACACATGGGCATTTTAACCCCTTGGAATCCTGGGACCTACTTAGTTGTTAGTAGAGAAGGCAGCTGTCGCTATTTGATAGCCCTGGGAAAGTGCATTTCCGTATAGTGGAAAGAGAAGGAGAGTGAGGTAATATCTTTCATTGGACCAACTTCCTTGGTGAGAGAGAAACTCTTTCAAGATATTACCTCACCCACCCTGTCTCTAATATCCTGGGGCTGACCCAGTTACATAAACACTGCCTTTCAGTATTGCTCCTACACTTAGCTGCCGTGAGGAATTTGCAATAGCAGGTACCACCCCACCTGGACACATGAGTGAAAAGAAGCTTTTATAGAAGAAGGAAAGGACTGGCAAACTTACACATAGGTGATGTCTGTTGCTTTAGGAATCTAGACATGCTTTCATCTGCAACCTGTGAATAGATTCACAAGCAGTTAGTGTTCAGTTGATTGAGACAAGACAAATCACGGAGTAGGTAATATTTGCAACAAAAGCGTCTATCAAAGCCTTTGACAGTTGCCTCAGGAGACAGAAGAAGCAGCAATATTTGTTTACATCTGAACTGAGCCTGAAGTACAAGCCCCCAAGTAGCTTTGGTTGTTGGTGCAAGAGCCTTCTCCTCCGCAGCTCCTGTTAGTTTGAAACCACCTTCCAATATCCCTCTGCCTCACACACACAGGCCAGATTCCCGGGTCTGGCCGATCTGTGCTAAGCATGGGACCTGGGATGGGAGAACGTTACCTCCAAGGCATCTTCCTGCTTCCTGGCTCAACCAGAGCCTGAAATGGCCCATAGAATAACTCAGGAAGGCCTAAGGGCTACTCTAAGTTATGCCACACGGAGCAGTCATCTGGGGACAGTTCTGCCAACCAGTGAGTGTGGAGCACAACTCCATCCAGCCCCACTCCCTCCCATCCCCAGCCTACCACTGAACATCTCCTACACATCAGGGAGGGGAGCCAGTCATGCAGAGGTGAAACAATGCACAGAGGTTAGAGCTGGAAGCCAGGATCTGACCCTGACTCTTTCTTATCTGAAAACATAGTGGGCCTGATCCTCAGCTGGTAGCATACCTCCTCTGAACAGGGGTACATTGATGTACAGCAGCCGAGGATCTGCCCCATAATTTCTCCCTTACTTCTGTACCTTGCAATTTCTCTCTCCCTCTGCTCTTTATTGTGTGAATCTGTAACTCTATCGTTTCGTTCTCTAAGGCACTGGGGAAAGAGTTTGTGTGAAAGACAGATCAGTAACGAAAAGGAGCCGAGAACTCTCAGTGGCAGAGAACTAACCTTGCAAGTAAACAAGCACTTGACAGAGGAAAGATTAGTTTTGTTTTTTTAATCACTTGCTAAATCACTCTCTCTATCTGAGAGCCAGAGTCCCTGTGACGGGCATTCAGACTCACACAGGAAATATTGCAACGTAATATTGACTCGGTCAGTGCCAAATACAAAAGGCATTTATGCAAAGCAGCAGGAAGGGCGGTTACCACTTGCCAGTCCTGCCAATGGTGTTCGCTTTTCCGATTCAAACCCACAAGGGTGCATGCATTCTTGCAAGACTTTGGTTCTTATCAGCCAGATTCTCAGGTGATATAAATCAGCATAATTTTGAAGCCAATGGAGCTAGGCTGATTGAGGATCTGGTCTACAGTTTGTGCATGTGCACCCCCCCGCCCCAAACCTTAATAGCAGTGCCTAGAGGCATACAATACTTACAAAGCAACAGAGAGTCCTGTGGCACCTTTAAGATTAACAGCTGTATTGGAGCATAAGCTTTCGTGGGTGAATGCCCACTTCGTCGGATGCATGAGTGGGCATTCACCCATGAACGCTTATGCTCCAATACATCTGTTAGTCTTAAAGGTGCCACAGGACTCTCTGTTGCTTTTTACAGATCCAGACTAACACGGCTACCCCTCTGATACAATACTTACAGTAAAAAGAACAGGAGTACTTGTGGCACCACTTCTTCGGATGGGTTGTAGCCCACGAAAGCTTATGCTCTAATAAATTTGTTAGTCTCTAAGGTGCCACAAGTACTCCTGTTCTTTTTGCGGATACAGACTAACACGGCTGCTACTCTGAAACAATACTTACAGTGGTTCTCAAACAGCGGAGCATTTGCTGATGGTCTATGGAGAACCAGCTCAGATGATGCTGACTCTTCTTGTTTCCAGCTGCTAAACTGCATCAACACATTGCTTCTGCCTGCACTCTACACTCGGAGCCGGCTCCAGGCACCAGCGAAGGAAGCAGGTGCTTGGGGTGGCCAATGGGAAGGGGCGGCACGTCCGGGTCTTCGGCGGCAATTCGGCGGCGGGTCCCTCAGTCCCTCTCTTCCTCTTTCAGCTGCCGCCGAATTGCCACCAAAGAATGAAGCGGCGTGACTGAGCTGCCGCAGAAGTGCCGCCAATCGGCTTTATCTTTTTTTTTTTGCTTCGCTGCTTGGGGCGGCAAAAAAGCTGGGGCCGGCCCTGTCTACATTAAAGACTCTTCTAATATTATTTCTCCCCAATTCCAGTAGCTGCTACAGAAATGGCAAAAAAGGCGGCCTATGCAATAATGAAAGGGAGAGCAGGTGTCCAGGAGACAACATCAGCTAGATCATCAGCTGGTGTGAATCAGTGTAATACACAGTGTAATACACTGATTCACAGCAGCTGAGGTGCTGACCCAACTCGCTCTGTTAAAATGAGGGCTAGGCAAAAGTGCGAGAACCCCTGCAGTACGGAGTCTGCTGGGAGCCTACTTATGTTGTATGCTTATGCACTTTGGGGACCAGACTCTCACTCAGTGTAAATCAGAGTAGATTTCATTGTAAATGGGTTTCAATGGAGCTCTGCTGATTAACTCCAGCTGAAGATCTGGCCAATGACAATTACTACTAGAAAACAGTGATAATATTTAATGTGTATATACATATATTATCCAGCTTGGATTATTTCTCTCTCTCTCTCTCTCTCTCTCTCACACACACACACACACACACACACACACACATCAGCTGCTTCTGGGGGAACAGGACACATGCTGCATGCCAACATGGTCTAGATAATACTTAGTCATGCTAGGAGTGCAGGGGACTGAACTAGATGACTTCTCAAGGTCCCTTCCAGTCCTACGCTTCTATGACTCTATGGGCAAAAGGTGAATGAATGGCTGAGTTAGCTTTCTGGCAGATGGACAATATCCTGAATTAACTTTACTGAATTAAGTTAAACCTTGCTGAATTAGTTTTAACAGCTTTGGGGTCCATTGTTTTAAAAATGCAGTTGTGTCTGTGTTATTGTGGAATTGTATGTTTGTACCTTCTCTAGGAGGTTGACTCACTAATGCAATGTCTGGAAGGTATTAGGAACTTCAAAGGGCTTTTTGAAACAATACCTGTGAAATGGATTTCCTAGGAAGTACCTGGGGGCAAAGGAAATGCAAATGACCCGCCTCTAATCCACCCTTTTGAAGCTATACCTTCCTGAGAGAAGCTACTGTATATTTATTACCTGCTCTAGGAAACTCCAGATCAAAGACGCCTAAACAGTATACAGGGTGGACTAAACATAGGGTGACCAGATAGCAAATGTAAAAAATTGGGACAGGGGTGGGGGGTAATAGGTGCCTATATAAGAAAAAGCCCCCAAAATCGGGACTGTCCCTATAAAATCGGGACATCTGGTCACTGGAACTAAACATGTTATGAGTGGGCTAGTTCTGAGCTGAGGCTGTGATGAATTTGAGACCACAAAGGAAATCCCTTGGGTGTGGTGCTGAAGGACTGCTCCGGCCAGAGATCATGTTCGAATTGGGGTGATGTCTGCTAAGCTTATTAGCATTGGTGTAGGGGCTTTTTTCTTTCTTTTTTTTTATTTTGTAACGGTTTTCTCTGTAGTGCTTTTACCTTAAGAATAAAATAGGCTTGTATTAGAAAGAACTGCCCGTCAACTTATAACTGCGGACAATCGCTCTGTTATCAGTCCCTGAACAGAAAGCCGGCACGTGCTGGGGCAGCCGGTGTCTGCTGAGAATAACAAAGTGAAGGCAGGCAACTGTGCAGCCTGGAAATATCCTGCTCAGAAGGGAGTGAGACATGCCTCTCCGCCCCCCCCCCCCCGAAAAGGCAACAGCGGGGGAGCTGGAAGCCTGAGAGTGGGGGCCCTTGCTGCACCACTGAGGGGAAATACAGGCACAAGTTGCCCTGAACTGAGTTGAACGTGGTGTGTGCTGCATTGAGGCTTCAGATTTTAAAACTGATGCCCAAAGCTGAGGGGCGTGTGTGGTCTAGGTCAGGAGACAGCCAAACCACTTATAAAATGGTAATTTCCCAATAGTTAAATTACTTAGAAAAGAAAAACATTGCAACAGAAAATTCCATCCCTTCCCCAGCTACCCCGCCTCTGCCCCTGCCTTCCCGTCATGCCCCCCAGCAGAGCAGCATGATCTAAAAGACCCTTGTGAAAGCTGCAGGGCACAGTCTGCAAGATAGGAAGGAATCAGGAAGAACTCCCCTACTCAGGTTGACCTTGAACTGTTTGAGATGGGGCAGCTGCTCGGTCCTGCATATTGCATGGTCTGCAAGAGCTCACAAGATTGCTGGGATGTTTGAATACAATTGTAATTTATGATGCAATGCGCAGCATCACGGTCAGCTGAATGTGTCATTTCCCTGGAGGGACTTTACAAGGCCATAGTGCGGGAATTCCGCTGGGAACGTTCCTCCCCCATGCGACATTAACGACCGTTTTAATCACTTAAATGTCAAGGTAGTTACATATGCCATAACAAAGCTGTGTTCGGCCCCGATTCAGCAAGATACTTCAGCACACACCTAACTTTAAGCATGTGAACCGCTGTATTTATTGACTTCAGTGGGACTACATGCTCAAAGTGAGAGCCCTGCTTATGTAGTTTGCTCAAGAACCTTACATAAGCGGAACCCTCGAGATTTAATTAGAGCTGATCGTTCCCCTGAAAAGTTTTGACTTTTTGTCAAAAACGTAGAGTGGTTTTGGGACAAAAACTGTGTGTGTGGGGGGGGGAGGGGAATGGCTAACAACTGAAATATGTTTGGCTGAAAATCAAAACAATTTCTATTTTAGGCCAAAAGTTTTCGTTTTCCGAGGGGGGGATCCCCAATGTGAATAACACGGAGAAGAGAAGCAGTGGTGCCTAGTGGATAGAACACTTGGTTGGGACTCAGGAAATCTAGGTTCTATTTCTGGCTGTGCTAGTGGCCTGCTGGGTGACCTTGGGCAAATCACTTCCCTTATTTCTGCCTCGGTTTCCCTAACTGTGAAATGGGGATAATGATATTGACTTGCTTTGAAATCATATGATGAAAAGTGCTAGTTCTTTTGAATAGCTTGTTCATGTATATACTGTTTAGTAAAGATCAGTTAGGCTGAAAGATGCT